CGCTGGCGAGGAAAAGGGCATTTTGGCAGAGGGGGGTGTGAAGGCTTTGCTGATGTGGGTTGCTACTCAGACAGGACTCTGTTCATTCAGGACAGAGAGACCAAGTGCTCGCAGTGCCCCTGGGTTACACGTCCCATTTTGGGCAGAGCCTGGCATGCAGCAGCCACCAGCCAGATGCTGGTGTGCTGACCTCCGTGGTCAGAGGGAACAGCCATGCCCTCATTTCTGAATCTGAAATTATCTGTTTGCTAGAGAAAGCGCCAAATTTGACTGAGCTCAAGGTTCTCCATCCTATTTGGGTGGACATCCTATTTGGGTATCTAGTTATCAAGTACCGGAGTACCACTTTGTGCATGTTTCTTTTTTTTATCACATTTTGTATGTTACACTTTGACACAGAGTATTAGAGAGTAGGATAACTGTGTGCAAGAGAGGTGGGATTTTCATGGGTAAAACATTATCTGTACATATTTATTACATTTTTTATATATGTGTATATTCCCTTTAACATGAGGGAGGATGCAATAAGGTACAGAGAAGAACACAGTAGTTTTCAAGGCAGCATCTTCAGGGAAAGATTTAAAACCAACCCAAAACTTCTGCCCATTTCCCTATGAAGAACTTCCTAGTTCTCTGCTTCACAGAGTGCAAAATAGTCAACTTTTTCCTCAGTTCCTTCCATGCTGATTTTGTTTCAAAAAAAACCTGTGAAGCCTCCTACCATATTATCAAGAAATCTTGTTGTTCTCAGATATGAATAACTTTCACCCAGAGATAGCGTTGCTTATTTTTGTTACTTTTTTTAATAGAATCTTCAGAAAACCGAAAAAATTGCAAAGGCTCTAGATAGCACTCTGTTCTAGTTAAGATAACCACTTGCCATTATCAAAACATTTTCTTTAGCTTTATGGTAACTTGCAAATACCTTGTTGAGCAGGTTTTTTTATTCATTCACATATCATAAATTTGTCTCCAAAATTAAAACTATACTTGATTCCTATGTGGAAGGAATTGAGCTCAGTTGTGTGCTTAAAAGCTTAGGAGGGACAGGTCTACCTGGCATCTTGCTCTTAGCTGTATCATTTTGGAGGCAGACGATGTTTAAGAACATCTAGGTATTTTCTCATGGACAACATGACGAATGCAACTTAACTAGAGATGTAGCGGTATTCACATAGAAGAGATTAGGTACCTTGAGAAGTCGAAAGGCAGTCATCCAGCACGTCCTGCTTTGTTCATCTTCAGCACACAACAACCTCAGCTCCTTAGTTTCATTTCTCACTCTGTTGGGCTATTAAGTGTGAGAGGGAAGTCAGACACATTCAGGAGAAAACCAACAACACGAACAAGGTTCTCAGACCATGCTAGAACCAGAACCAAGGTGTTTGGGTTGTTTTGGTTTTTTTTAGAACTGTTTTATAAGCCCCTATTTCAAGATGAAGAACCAAAGTTTCTGTAACTGAAGGTTACTGAAAGTCTGCTTCCACCAGTTCAGGGTCTGTCTCACAGCTGGTGTCTACTCTCTGAGGCAAACCCATGTTATCCAGCTCTGGAACGGCTGCTAGAAAGGAGAGTGCTTCACTGCTGTCAATAAAACCAGCCCCCAGCCTTATTTTCTTCTCAGAAAATTACATGAAGCTTTGAAATACTTTTCAAACCTATTCATCACCACAACAGTTTCAAAAATCCTCAAAGGCAACTGCTTATTCTGACTTCCATTTTCCAAGACAATCTTGTTCTTTAAATAAATGCAAACCTTTAATGGTACAATCACACCCAACCAGATTGTGATCCTTTGTTGCTATATAGTTTTGGTGCTCACTGTCCAGAGAAACTTCCCTATTCAATTAGAGTACTTGGGAAAAAAAAAATTAATCTCTGAGGTGAACCAAGGCCACCTCACAGGCACACCATGCTTCAGCACTGAGTTGATCTTGCACAGAAATTTCCCAAGCCAAAGGAGCACCAGATAAAGTGTTAGAAGTGTCACATAAAACGATGTCAAGATTCACGGGATATGCCTGCCAAATGAAAGACGTTAAAGATCAAGTCCTCATGACGGAAATTCTTGCAGAATTTTACATACAGATCCCATTCAGCTGGGGACTGGGGGAACTCTGAGCCACCAACACCGTCTTGAACTTTGGAAGAACTTAATGAGAAGAATTACCTTTATACAAAATCCATACTCCGCAGGTGCATTGTACAACTTCTTGCCTGCTATCAACGAGAAGATATTGCTGTCTTCTAGGTCAGCCAACAACTGCAAATGTCTTGGCTCCTGGGGAAAAAACGTGTTTTATCATAGGTAAGTGTAAGATTTTGGAAGATTCTTGCTGCAAGCTTTGCAGTCTCTCAAGACCAACCTCCAACAGAGGGCAGCGTACGAACACTGTGCTCCTCTCCCAGGCAGCCTGCAGTGGACACAGCAGGGCACCTTTTAAACATCAGCCTACTATACAGCAGAAGGTGCTTTACATGAGAAGCTGACAAAATACTTATTCAAATGCATCACATTAAAAATGGCATAGCCTATTACATTGCTCCTGAGAAATCTGAAAGTTAGGCAACATAAAATATTGTTTAAGGTATCATTTAAACTACATTCATGAACCATGTGCTTGGAGAACACGATTTCTCTTGTAGCATGACTTCAGTAGGGGTGATTACGTTGTCTGGCTAGTTTGGTTTTATTATATAACAATGCTATAGAGCTATTTTCATGCATTGAGAGCCCAGGGCTTGATTGTCATTTGATCATGGCTTGCCTATCCTTTTCTATGCGATAAAAAAAAGGGAACACTCTGTGCAGATATTTAAAAACCAGCAAAAAATACCCACTGTAAAAGCAGAAAATGCTTTCACATTCTAGTACTGTGCAACTTCTTTTTTAATCTTACCTTTGAAGTTCCTTTTGTAGAACAATAAAGTCCTGATCTCCTCAAACACACATACAATTTCTTCCACGATTTCCTACCCAGCTCTTTGACATGCAAGAAACCTTGAATTTCAGGGCAGCTACTGGAATTTAAAAAGTTCTGTTGGAGAGGAAAATGTAAATGAGGATTGTGTCCTATAGATGGATCATAAAATTGTCACTGTGTTTGCAGAACAGAGAAGCAAATGGCAAATTATTTTGCTGACTTGGGGCACAGTTTCACATTATGCTTAAACTGACCTAGATGTTTAAACTGTTTTACAACCAAAATAGATATTCCTGTTCCCCCCGTTACATCTACCTAGCTAACTCCTCCTGCCACTGACATTTTCCTGTGCTCTGTGTCAACACATAAATCTCCAAAAGCTAACCATTTCTCTGTATCCTCAATCTTCTTGCACTTGGCCTAAAGGGACTCAAAGTAAGCTTATTAAGTCTTAAAATAATACCTTGTCACAACAATTCTGACAACTAGTCTAACTTGGAAACATTGGCCAAAATCTGCAACTTTATCTCAAAGTTTTAGAATGGCAACAGCCTATTTCAGGATTTCCCACATTAAAGTCTTATATAGCAGATGCACCCGTCCCAAGACAAGAGGAATGACAGACAACAGAGTATTTAACGCATAATGAAATGTAGAGCAGTCAAATAAGTGTCAGCAATTACATTAGACTTCAAGATCCATAAGTATTAAAGTTCTTGACATAATTAGAGGGACCACATATGGAATCATTTGATTTGCAATACATCAAAGGAAGGAAGAATTAACTATGGTTAGCAAATTGACGGATTGCTCCCTGATTACAATGGGCCAGATTTTTAAATGACAGAGAGCTTGCTCAGTAAGTTAAATGCCAAACTAATAAATTCAATAGTAGGAAGAAAAATGCATAAACCTGGTTGGTCTAGATGCCTTTGCAAGTCTTGAAAGTTGTGTTTTGGTGTTATTTGGTGGATAATGCCCACAGGAAATAAAATAAAAAAATCAGTGCCCTGTGTCTGAATTCTTAGCTGCATTAAAACCTAATTTTTTTTTCCAGTCCTCCTCCCCATCTCATCTAACAGAATGGAAAAGAACAGTCAATTTTCTTGCTATTTGTACTACGAATCCACTTCTCAACTGTGTAAGAGAAAGACCAAAAGGAGAATATATTCTCTCTGTCCAGCTAGATAAACCAAAAGTAAACTAAGCAGCAAGCTTTTTTGCATATCTGAGCCATGCTGGGAAAACAGATCCCACTGTTTTTAATGCTGTTGTTAAGACCTAAAATACTAGCTCTTAATGCAGTATATGATATCGTGAGATGATACTTAATATTCTTCCCTATTTTGTGTGCAATTAAAAACAGTGCATTTGCTCAATATTTGAGGTGGCCTCGGATGCAACATGCTTAATGACTACTAGACTGCAGGTAGTTTACCTTCAACAAATTACAACTGTCATTCAAATTATGAAATCTTATGTGTGGTTTTTTAAAAGCAAAAGGGTATTTAATAGAAATGCTTTAAGGAAGAATGGTTTTTATGGTAAAACAACATACCAACAAGAATGTACCCACCCTCTTTCCCCCAGCCTCTCATGCTGTTAACCCCCGTGACTTATGCTTCTCCAGGATTGTACCTAACTGAGCCTTCCCAGGAGCAAACTCTTGTATCTCACAAGGTTGTGAGGTTTTCCTTTCCCT